ATAGTAACTTGAAGTAAGTTAACTTGAATTTTTAACCTCAAATAGCTGGTTTTACAGGTAACATTGCGTAAAATACAATAGGCATTACTTAATGGTTACGTAACGTATTGTAATCTTACGTAACAGCTGTGAAAGGTTAATACGAAAGTCTTACGTAATGTAAGGTAAATTTACATAATGAATACTACCATTGCATTACGTAAGATCTAAAGTCATTACGGAAGCCTTAAGTAACGATGTTGATTTAACTGTTACGTAAGAAATAATTGTCATTCGTAACATTTACGTAATGCAAGGTCATTTTACATCATGGATTCATGGATCAATCCATGGATCCAAATGACATATTACGATTTGGTACCTATATTTTTTATATTTTACATTTTGGCACCTAAAATTTATATTTTTACACGAAAAATTACATTGGAAAATTACATTTTGATACCTGAAATTTTTCATTATGACATTTTAGTACCTAAACTTTTCCAAATTTACATTTTTGTCCAAGCCTTGGATGTCATCTGGATTCATGGATCAATCCACCAATCCATGTGATCCAATCCATTGGATCCAATCCATTTGATCCATTGATTCACCAAATCCAATCCACGAATCCGATCCAATTGACACCTCTAAACAAGACTACGCACATGTGAAGAGAAAAAGGAAAAGGAAACCCTAATTAAAAGGAGTAGGGGTAGGGGAAACGTCAAAAACTCACTTCGAATCAGTCTCTTTCCAGCAGCCGAAAAGTCTGGCGCCGGTTTGTTCTATTTATACTACGAGAGTTACTAATCGTCGCCCTAAAAATTTGAATTTATCGCCCTAACCTCACACCAAATTACTCTACTACTCCTAACTTCTTCTTTAGCGCCCTAACCTAATCGCCGTACCTCGGCAAATCTGCCGATCAAGTACGATTGATGAGGAAGGAGGATGAAGAAGAAGAATTCAGCGCCGTCCGATGCAAATCCATTGCCGTCCAGCTCTCAACCAGTGGCGTGGCGGGTTCCCTGCTCGCTTCCACCATTCACTAGGGTCTAGGGGTATTCCCTACCCGACTGTCCTGCTCGTCAGACGGGTGTAAATCCCGTCGCCGGCAGTATCGGGACAGGTCGCATACCCATCTCGCCACCGCCGGCGACGGGATATCAACCCGCCCGACGAACAGCACCCTGAAAGAAAGAAAAAAATAGCTCAGGAGGATTCCGGCCTTCTTCCTCCTTCCTCCTCAACGGCGACGAACATCCTCTGCAACAGCAGAGGTTGGCGGCGATGGGAGGATCAGAATTCCGAACCGTTTGGGAGCATGTGGGCGTCTGCGGCTGTGGGCGACGGTGACATTGGGCGGGGTAAAACCAGAGATGACGGCGGCAACAGTTGGCGGGGCAGAACCAGAGGTGGCGGCGGCGTGAGCATCTACATCTTCTTCGTCCTAAGAGGTGGCCGGCGGGGGCGGATTAGGGCGAAGTTGGTTACGGATTAGGATTAAATTGGGGGCAAAAAATTAAAAAGCTAGGGCGTTAAATAGGAATTCAGTATACTATAGCCGAAACTTGTAACTTCCTTGCGCGCCGGAAAAGGTTGGTTCCCGCCGGTCAAATAAGTTTTCGATTAACGTTTTTTTCTTTTTACTTCGCTGAGCGGTACCAAAAGGGTTCTTTGGCCGTTTATATATGCATATGCAGGAGGTCCTGCCTGGTAGATATGGCGGCGGAAGCAGATCAGCAGCCGGTGACGAGGATGCTGGAGACTAAGAAATTCACATGGAAGATTGAGAATTTCTCAAGGCGGAATGAAACCAAGCTCTATTCCGACACATTCCTGGCTGGGGGCCACAAATGGTAACTTAATTGATATAACCATACATGCCCTTTCTCAACTGCTTTCTCTATTCTCTGTTAATTAAACCCTATTTTCCTCATATCCCTGCCTAGTTTTTTCGCTTGTTTCATCTGTCTGTTAAATCCAAATAGCATTCCTTTAGACATAGTCTCGTGTCGGCTTAGGATAGGGTGAGTAACCCTTTGTTACTCACCCGTGAGTAACCACATAGGGACCGTCGATCTTGGCGGGACGGATCTTGTGGCTGTGATTGATGCGGGGTTTTTTGTCCACGGTCAGGGGCATTTTTGTCCGACATTTTATTTTTGAATTAAATGACTTTCCCTCTTTGTCCGTTGCAAATCTTTCTGTGCGCGAGTTGGATTCGGATTTTGGAGAGAGAAACTACGAGCAGGGGGAGCAGCAGCTGAGAAATAAGGACGGCGATTCTCCATTGTTGATCGACGGCGATAGAAACTGCGAGCAGCAGCTTTGAATCGAGCTTTCTGATTCTCCATAATTGATCGACGTGTGCGCGAGTTGGATTCGGTTTTTGTAGAGAGAAATTGCGAGCAGCGGCTGCGAAACAGGGGACGGCGAATCTTTTCTGATTCTCCATAATTGATCGACGACGAGGTTAGATATTAGTTTTTTTGATTCTTTCTGTTTAGCTAATCGAGTTTTCTGTTGATCTCTGGTTTCGTTGGAGGTTTTTGATTGCTGCTAGTCGAGCTTGTTTATGTTTAGCTAATCGAGCTTGTTCATGTGTTATGTTCTTTGTGTTTTGGTGTTTTGGCAGTATTCTGGTGAGATGAGTAACGTAAATTGTGGCGATGTTGTTCCAATTGATAGATCTGGTTCTTCAACCAGCGTTGTAGGATCTGGTTCTTCATCTAGTGCTGTTGGAACTGCTTCTTCATCTATTGATCTTGGATTTGATCATTCAGCTAACTCTGGTGAATCAGGAGGTAAGATATGCAAATTTGTTTGTTTATTGAAGTTTGTATAGTGTCGTAATTTGATTTTACTATGCCTTATCATGTGGTAATTGATTTTATAGTACATTACCATGTGGTAAAATGTGGTAATTAGGAAGTTAAATGTGATGTTTCTGTGTGATAATTGATTTTACCATGCCATACCATATGGTATAGTGTGGTAATTTGATTTTACCATGCCTTATCATGTGGTAATTGATTTTACAGTAGATTACCATGTGGTAAAATGTGGTAATTAGGAAGTTAAACTTGAGGATTCTGTGTGATAGTTGATTTTACCATGCCATACCATATGGTATAGTGTGGTAATTTGATTTTACCATGCCTTATCATGTGGTAATTGATTTTACAGTAGATTACCATGTGGTAAAATGTGGTAATTAGGAAGTTAAACTTGAGGATTCTGTGTGATAGTTGATTTTACCATGCCATATCATATGGTATAGTGTGGTAATTTGATTTTACCATGCCATACCATGTTGTATAGTGTGGTAGTTTGATTTTACCATGCCATACCATATGGTATAGGGTGGTAATTTGATTTTACCATGCCTTATCATGTGGTAATTGATTTTACAGTACATTACCATGTGGTAAAATGTGGTAATTAGGAAGTTAAATGTGTGGGTTCTGTGTGATAATTGATTTTACCATGCCATACTATGGTGGTAACTCTTGTATTATGGCTGTAATTATTGGTATACATTGATTTTTCATACTGTTGTGGTGTGGAATCCATTTAATATGTTGTTTCATAATGTTTGTAGGTTTCAATGGTATAGATCCTACTGTTCGTGATTCTTGGAAGGACTTAGAGTTCAATACACCAGATGATGCATATAATTTTTATGTTGATTATGGGAATCATGAAGGTTTTGGTGTGAGGATTTATAACCAATCAGCGTGTCCGAAACTCAATGGTGGTTCTTCAGCTGTATATTATATCAAGTATTGTTGCAATAAGGAAGGTTGGAAAAGAGGTAGCGAGAATAACCCTGATAATGCAGGTGTTGTTGATACGACAGTTCGTGTTCGTAATGTTCCAGAACTCAGGGGTGGATGTAATGGTGCTTATATACGACTGAGGTGGTTTAAAGAGTTTAAATGCTACAAGATCTATCGTTGGTATAATGTGCACAACCATGACATGATTCCTGAGTCTCTGCGTCACTATGTAAGATCCAGCAGACGAATGGCTCCTGTGTATAAGATGCTGGCAGAGGTGAATGATGCTGCTGGTATTGGTGTGACTTCTTCGTATAATGCAATTAGTAGGGCTGGTGGTGGTCGGAAGTTTGTTGGGTTCACAAAGAATGATTTGAAGAACCATCTGCGAACGGTTAGGACGTCATCAATGGAGTATGGTGATGCGACTGCATTGCTTGAATACTTTAGACGTCAAGCACAGCTGGATCCTGGGTTCTTTCATGAGGTGGAGGTTGATGTTGAAGAGAACATTGCTAGTATCTTTTGGGCAGATGGGAAGATGAGGATGGATTATCATTATTTTGGTGATTCAATTAGTTTTGATACTACTTACCGGACTAACAAAGGGTATCGGCCACTAGGTATGTTTTCTAGTTTGTTGTTTATTATTGTGTTTGTTAGTTTGTATGAGTATTATTATTATCATTCTGTATCATGTTTTTTTTTTGTTCTTAAATGTATTTTACCATATGGTATGTGTTGGTAACAAGGTTATTTGAGGTGGTTTTTGTGCTTAAAAGTCTTTTACCATATGGTATGTGTTGGTAACAAGGTTATTTGAGGTGGTTTTTGTTCTTAAAAGTACTTTACCATATGGTATGTGTTGGTAACAAGGTTATTTGAGGTGGTTTTTGTGCTTAAAAGTCTTTTACCATATGGTATGGGTTGGTAACAAGGTTATTTGTGGTGTTTTTTGCGTTGTTAGAAGTGTGTACTATATGGTAGTCTGGTGTGGATTTTTTTTTTTTGTTCTTAGAAGTCTTTACCACATGGTATGAGTCTTTACCATATGGTATGGGTTGGTATTATTGTTATTCGTACCTTTTACCACATGGTATGTGTTGGTAGAATTGTTTTTACTCACATTTTGTTATGTTTATGTAGCTTTGTTTGTTGGTTTCAACAATCATCACCAACTGACTGTCTTTGCGGCTGCTCTTCTCTATGATGAAACAACAGCAACATTTGAATGGCTTTTCGATCAGTTTTTGAAATGCATGGGAGGTGTGAGACCGTTATCAATGTTTACTGACCAGGCTGCTGCAATTGCTGCTGGTATAAGGTCTGTTTTCCCAGATTGTTTTCATGGGTTGTGTACATGGCATATTGCTCAGAATGCAGTTGTTAATCTGGGAAGTTTGTGTGACTCTGATTTCCTTCGTGAGCTTAGTTATTTGATGTATAATGCTGATGATGAGGATGATTTTGAGTATAATTGGAAGAAGATGATTGAGAAGTGTTTTCCTGGGAAGGGACCTTTGGGACACAGTTGGTTACAGGGCATTTACAAAGTCAGGACGAAGTGGTCTTCAGCCTGGGTGAATTGTCATTTTGGTGCGGGAATGAAGAGTACCCAGCTAAGTGAGTGCTGCAATAGTAATATTCGACATTACTTGCAGTCAGAGTTTAGCGTTAGTAGGTTCTTTGTGCACTTTGAGAGGATGCTTGATAATAAGAGGGATGCTGAAGAACAAGAAGAGTACTATGCGTTATCTAGGTTGGCTGATTCTCGGTTTTCTACTAGCCCTATTGTGAAGCAAGTTGCTAATGTGTATACGCCGAAGATATTCAAGTTTTTCCTGGATCAGTACAAGGAATCCCTTGCGTATAATATCTTTTCCAATACGGAGATAGAACCAGAAGGACATGTAGGACTGTTTGATGTCTTCATATTGGAGGATGACCTTACAAGGTTGGATAGTAGGGTGTTGAAGGTTGATTTTGAAAACGGTGAAATCAAGTGTTCGTGCCGTAAGTGGGAGTCAAGTGGTATGATCTGTAAGCATCAAATTAAGGGATATGATATGTTGTGGTCTACAACGTGCAATCTGAAGTTCCAGCACATTCCTAGCAGTTTGATTTTGAAGCGGTGGACAAGGGCAGCGAAAACTGGAGGGAACTTTTCTTTTGAAGTTCCGTCTACTGATAGTCCATCGAAATACCGTTCTCGTCTTTTCAATCTGTCAGCTGTTTCTGCATCAATGATCAGCAGGGTTGCATTGGATGATGATTTGTATAAATCAGCCATGGCCTTCATGACTGATTTGATCAAAAAGTGTGAAGCCCTATCGATTACTGAACCTGCTGGAACAAGCACATCTTCTAACGGTGACAGTAAGTTTTTTTTAATTGTTTAGAGTTTGTTTTTGTTTTTGTTATCTGTCATTGATTGTAGTTTGTTTTTGTTATCTTGGTATAGATGATGTACCGGTCCAAAAAGTGAAGGGGTTTAAGCCTAAAAAAGATTCATTCAAGCCTTCGAAACGACCAATTCCAGCTGCGGAGGCTGCAAGGGCTGTAAGCAAGAAGAAGAGAAAAACTAGCAGGCTTGAGGAGGAGAATTTGAAGGCTGTTGAAGAAAGTTTAAGGCTGAAGCTGTAATAGTTTTCTTATAGGATTATCTGAATGAATGGTTGATGCTGGTTGAGTTGTTGAAGCTATTTTGTTCTTTTGGATGGGTTTTTGGTTTTGTTGGATTAATTTTACACTGTTATACCATGTGGTATAATGTGGTAATTTGATTTTATCATGTCAAACCAGGTGGTAAAATGTGCTAGTTTGGAAGTTGAATGTGAAGGTTCTGTTTTATAATTGATTTTACCATGCCATACCATATGGTATATTATGGTAATTTGATTTTACCATGTGGTAATGTGTGGTAATTGATTTTACCATGTGGTAAAATATGATTTTTTGGAAGTGGTATGTGTGGTAATTGATTTTACAGTGCATTACCATGTGGTAAAATGTGGTAACAAACTAAAACACAGCAGGAGTTATGGTTTTTTTGCTATTTTACAACATGAAACCATAGTTTACCACACATTACCATATGGTAACAAACTAAAACACAGCATGACTTATGGTTTTTTGCTATTTTTGCAACATTTTACTACATGAAACCATAGTTTACCACACATTACCATATGGTAACAAACTAAAACACAGCAGGACTTATGGTTTTTTGCTTATTTACAACATGAAACCATAATTTACCATACATTACCATATGGTAACAAACTAAAAGACAGCAGGACTTATGGTTTTTTGCTATTTTACAACATGAAACCATAATTTACCACACATTACCATATGGTAACGAACAAAACACAACATGTAATCATAATTTACCACACATTACTATATGGTAAAATGTGGTAATTTGGGAATTAAGAACACATGTTAAGTATTTGCTAACATAATAAAAAACAGAACATTTCTTTTAGTCATAATACAAACCATAATAAGTTGTTTCATACCATTCTACTAATTAAAATGAAGTGGCTACTGAACATTGTGAGTTTGTTCTCAAAAGCTTACTCATACCCTTCTACTACTTAACACAAATGATAATAGAATTTTCATTTCCTTCCTTTCAACTCTTTCTTCTTGTTCTTCATGTTGCAGTACTTTGTTGCTTCTTTCATGATCCTTTCCCGTTCAAGATTTTCTTCATCAAGAATGATGTCCAACATCAGGCACTCCCTTTCTTCATTTATGAGATCAATCCTCTTCCAATCTTTGGTCAGGGCACTGTTGTACTTACCTTCCCAGTGTCTCATCCACCTGATGACGTACATCCCACATGAAATTTGATCTGGTTGTGTAACCTTCTCGAGCTTGAACCAGCTAAACCTCTCCCACCTTACTGTCCTGTCTGCAAACTGTGTCTTCATGTAGTTGATTGCGTACTGGACAACTCTCTCTGCCATTGATTTGTATGTTTTTTCAAAATCTTTGTGACGGAGACTGTCGAGCACTTCAAATCTCTCTGCTTTGATGTTGACACAAATCATGATGTAGTGCTTGTTATTACAGTAAGGGAAGAACCACTGCAAAATAATTTTACCACAGTATACCATATGGTAAGCAGGTGCCATATAAGTGATGAACAGTAAGTTAAGTTAAGAACAATTGCAAACTAATTTTACCACTATATACCATATGGTAACCACTGCAAAAATTGTGGTGAGATACTTACAAGGTTACATTCTGTGAAGCTGAGGTTTTTGGCCCATTCTTTGTTGGTGATGTCCAAGTCCACTTTGTCGTAGTAATCGTCTGGAGATAGTACAGGATTGCCACTATCAATGTCCAGTTGGCAGTCACCCTGAAAGTTGTGGTTGTTATTATGTGTTTTATATATGTGTTGTCTAAGAACTTTTGACAGAATATGGGTGGGTTTACTTACTGCCAACGATGTATCGAAGAACCACTTTGTGAATTTTCCTTTTTTGGCTTCATTTCTGTTCATTACATCTCCATACCAGCCGATGACATCAGATGTGATTTCACAGCCAATGTCAATCGACTGTACTGACTCCCTTTTCAGCATGAATGTTCCATCCTTCCTTTTAAACATGATCTCATCACTGTATACAAGCACATCACAACAGGACGGATGGTTTACTTTAATTCATCACATCAAACAATAGGTTACCACAACAAAACCATAGCTTAGCACATCTTACCATATGGTAATAAGTAAAACACACCAGCTTACCACATTTTACCATATGGTAATAAGTGAAACACACCAGCTTACCACGTCTTACCATATGGTAATAAGTAAAATAGAACAGGAGTTATGGTTTAATCCATTCTTTAACAACAAACATTAGCTTACCACATCATACCATATGGTATTAAACTAAAACAAAACAGGACTTGTGCATTACTACATTTTGTAACATTAAACCATAGATTTGTCTAATTTTACCATATCTTACCATATTTTACCATATGGTAACAAACTAGATCACTACAGTAACATCATATAACAGTAGAAGTTTTAAGATGTCTTACCTCTTGGCAAATTTCTTGTTTTTGCATCTTATGTACTCCAGGATGTTGCTGAACATATCATCAGGTGTGGTTTGTGTTGGTGTTGAATATTCAACTGGTGATTTTTGTGACTGTGGAGCAACTGGGTCGGCAGCTGGAGAATTCAGGTCCTCTAGGTAAGCATCTATGCATTCACGGACTTCCTTGAGCTTCTCTTGGCTGTTTGTGTACAGATTTGACCATATAGCATATGACCCCGTCTGTGACTGGGTGCTTTGTGGCTGTTCTGGTAGTGGTGTTGCTCTTGCCTTCTTTTCATTTCCTTGTACATTCTTTATCACGATTCTTCTTTTGCGAGGCTCTGCTGGTTGATCGGTTGCTGTGTTGGTAGTCAACTTTGTTGGTGTTGTTGGTGTTTGACGGTTGAGAGGGCTGAGATCAAAGGATGGAATGTCGTCTTCCCTCGTCACTTTAGGCTTCTCAGCAGCTTCGGTTGTCAGTTTTGGAGCGTCTTCACGAACAACATCATCTGACACCGTCTTCTCGCTGTCAGTTTCTGCAGTCTTTTGTGCAGCTTGCCCTGTATTCCCTTCTTCTCTTGTTTCCTTATCAACTTCCATTGGATCTGCTGTTTTGGTAGCTCCTTTTTGTTCGGTTTCTTCTGCAGATGTCTGTTCTGGAACTGCTTTCTGGGTGTCCTCTGTTGCAACTTCCCCCAATTGATCTCCTTCTTTTGGGATGCTTTCCCTATTCACAGCTCCTGGAGCAGAATCATCTTGCTCCTTTTCTTTTGGCTTTGGTGTAGATGCAGCAAGATCGACTGTAGATGGTTGTGAATCATCTTCTTTTTGTGTTTGCTCCTCGTTCTCCTCTTCGTTCTGGTCTATCTTTGCCTGTTTGAATATTTGATTGAGTGTTTTATTCAAACTGGCATTCAATTCTTCATCATTCTCTTCTTCATCATCTTCATTTTCTACTACCTGATTGTCAGATTTTTCTCCTTCTGAGGGCTGAACATATTCATCAGACTTTTCTTTCTGAAGATTCTTTTTGTGTTTGATCAGCTTGTCTAGTTGGCTGTTGTACTGCTCTTTGATTGCTTTCATCATTGCCTTCATTGATGCTTCAACCAGTTTGATTGCATTCTCAGCCTGCATAATGGGAGTATGGTTAGTTACCATGGTGGTAATACATGGTATTGGTAATTATTATCACTATTCTGCATTTTTATAACATGAAACTATATCTTACCACACCTTACCATATGGTAACAAAGTAAAACAGAACAAGAATTATGGTTTCCTCCATTTTTATAACATGAATTCATTGCTTACCACACATTACCATATGGTAACGTATTAAAACACAACAGGACTTATGTTTTCCTCCATTTTTATAACGTGAAACCGTAGATTACCACACTTTACCATATGGTAACAAACTAAAACACAGCAGGACTTGTTGTTTTTTGTATTTTTAAAACATGAAAGCATAGCTTACCACACATTACCATATGGTAACAAAGTAAGACAGAACAAGAATTATGGTTTCCTCCATTTTTATGACATGAAACCATTGCTTACCACACATTACCATATGGTAACGAAGTAAACCACAACAGGACTTATGTTTTGCTCCATTTTTATAACATGGAACCATAGCTTACCACACTTTACCATATGGTAACAAAGTAAAACACAGGACTTACGCTTAGCATGTATTGGACAACTGGTATATAGATAATTTGTACTTACTTGGTTGACTGTTCTGATTTTCTTCAAATCAAAGTTCAGTGATGATGACTGCTCGGGACTTTTGTTTCTTTGTCTTTTCGGTGATTCATAGACTGGCTCATTCTCCTCTTCCTCATCAGCTGCGACATCAGCTGCGTCATCAGCCTCATCATCAGCCTCATCATCAGCCTCATCGTCTCTAATGTTGGTAATCTTTTCGATCTCGTTCAACTGTTTTCCATTGTAGTAGCTCTTAATGTTCTCAAAGTTGCTATCAACATTGTTATCATCATAGTAGCTTACTGTTGGTGTTCGAAGCTGGGTTGAGAATGCCATTTCGTCCAGTTTGTACATGAAGCATACCTTTTTATGCAGATAGTTGTATTAGTTTTTTCAAAGAGTATCATTTATATATAAAATATATGAGTAACAAGGTTGAAATGGCCAAGGGAATGGAGACTTACTGTAAGGAAGTGAAGATCTGCATTGACGTAGCGCTTTGATGATTTCAATCCTTCATTCATGTGGTTGAAGAAGTATTTGCACCAGTTGTAGCTGGTGAAATGTTTCTGTTCATCAGTCTTCAAGTACTCAAGCATGTTGAGTTCAGCCATAGGGGCTGAAGTTGGGCACAACAAGCCTCCGGTGACCAGCAGAAAGAATAATTGTAACCATCTCCTACTGTTGGTAACTGTAGAAAGATCTTTTTCTACCTGACTTAGCTTTACCCTTGGAGTGGATGCTCCATCTACTTCCAGTAGGGTTTCTACTGCATAATCTGCTGCATCGTCCCAAGAAATTGTGGGAGGTACAACTTCCCTATTCCCCATTGGCAGACCATATACCCTATGAAAGTCAATTGGTGATATCTTCATGCGTGTCCCATCAGGTAGCTTGAAAGATTGGTTCATTGGATTGTATTTGTTCATTACGAACAGTGCAAAATGGTTGTTTATCTTTGTCTGCTTGATTGACATTAAGCCTGCTAGGCCTAATGTCTCAAGTTTCTCTTTCTGCTCATCTTTTATAGTCCTCGCAATTGCAGATATTCTTGTTGGGCTGCACCTTGTGCGAAAAGTTTTTCTTTGGTTTACCATAGTGTACCTGAATGTAGAAATTAGGAATAGTCTGTTAGCGTGCTTTTTACCATGATATACCATATGGTACCATAATGATTTCCTACCATACCAAATCAAACCATATATTTATCTCATTTTACCATATGGTAATTACATCAAACCATGTCTTATAAGATATTACCATATGGTAACGAAGTAAAACACAACAGGATGTATGTTTTCATCCATTTTTACAGCATGAAACCATAGTTTACCACTCATTACCATATGGTAAAGAAGCAAAACACAGCAGGACTTATGGTTTTTTGCTATTTTACAACATGAAACCATAGTTTACCACTCATTACCATATGGTAACGAAGCAAAACACAGCAGGACTTATGGTTTTTTGCTATTTTACAACATGAAACCATAGTTTACCACACATTACCATATGGTAAAGAAGCAAAACACAGCAGGACTTATGGTTTTTTGCTATTTTACAACATGAAACCATAGTTTACCACTCATTACCATATGGTAACGAAGCAAAACACAGCAGGACTTATGGTTTTTTGCTATTTTACAACATGAAACCATAGTTTACCACTCATTACCATATGGTAAAGAAGCAAAACACAGCAGGACTTATGGTTTTTTGCTATTTTACAACATGAAACCATAGTTTACCACTCATTACCATATGGTAAAGAAGCAAAACACAGCAGGACTTATGGTTTTTTGCTATTTTACAACATGAAACCATAGTTTACCACTCATTACCATATGGTAAAGAAGCAAAACACAGCAGGACTTATGGTTTTTTGCTATTTTACAACATGAAACCATAGGTTACCACACATTACCATATGGTAAAGAAGCAAAACACAGCAGGACTTATGGTTTTTTGCTATTTTACAACATGAAACCATAGGTTACCACACATTACCATATGGTAACAAACTAAAACACAGCAGGACTTATGGTTTTTTGCTATTTTACAACATGCAATCATAACTTACCACTCATTACCATATGGTAATGAAGCAAAACACAACAGATTCTACATCAGTTCAGCAACGCATGGAGAGTGACTGCGATACTGTTCTATTGTTGGATTTCGAAGAAAGAAGTGAGGTTTTACCTTGATATTTTGTGCGAAAACGATTTTTGAGCCTCGTTGAAGTTGGAAACTCTTCGTTTTTCGACGAAGAAGCGAGAACAGTGTATCGTTGAATGATTCTTCGAAATCCTTTGCGAAAATCGTTCGATTTGAAGTTTTTTCTGGAAGTTTTTGCTGCGATTTTGGTGAGAGAATTGAGAATCGAGAGGAAGAATGGAGAGTTTGAGAGCAGAGAGGGAAGTGGAACTGTCGCTTGAAAGGTGAGAGGAAGAAGGAGAGAAGGCGGGACGGTTGTCGCTGTCACGTCTGCAATTCAAATTGTCAGAGACGAGATTACGTTTTTGCCCCCGCGTGTATTTTAAGTGGTCTGATCTGACGGCTGGGAAGATGGCGCGATGGACGGCCGGATCATCGGTTACTGACCGTTACTGACAGGTCGGTTACTGATAGGATCCGGACCCTCTCGTGTCTGATATGATCTAGGGCAAGAGTTAGTTTGAACCTTTTTGGACTAGTACATACACATTGATCTCAATTTTCCTGCCTGCAGGAGGATTCTTGTTTTTCCAATAATGTAACGAATTTTCTCTCCCTGTACGTGGATCTTGCCGATTCGGAAACCAGGCCGGCTGGATGGACTGTGAAAGCTGACATCAGCCTTACTCTTGTCGACCAAGTCAAAGGAACTTCATCCCTGCGAAAGTGTAAGTGTGTAGCAATTATTCTCGTGGATGGCGGATTATTTAGTTTCTGCATTTCTCGTGTGTCTATCAATCGGAACTCTGGATCCCCGCAGATAGCACACACAATTTCAATGCAGAGGAGCATGATTGGGGATTCACGTCTTTCGTCGCGATCAAAGAACTTCGTAGTCCTAATGAAGGATTCTTTGTGAATGATACACTCATTGTTCAAGCTGAAGTTTGCACTGCTAAGAGAACCAAGTTTGAACTGAATCTAAGTTCCTTGTATGTACTGTCTATTGTCCTTCTCCAATAATAGAGTCTTGTAACTATTTATTGTCTCAATAGCTTGCAGGAAGCTGAAGCAACAGATTCAGAGGCAGCTATTAATTCTGGGGCACCAAAAGTCATTAAAGAAATATCATCGACCCTGCCAATTTCAGCAGATAGTTAGGTGATGACAATGATAAGTTCCCTCACACTTTTGCACCATAAATTGACGTTCAAATGTGACAGAAAGCACAAACCATATATAGTATGTTGATTCGATCCAAACATCACCGATTGACTCTCCCCCATTTAATTTCCTCCATGGCTTGCTTTGCCTTTTCAGGTTCAGGCTGATAGTTCTGCCAACGCAGCGAGCAAACCTCTTTCTCCATCTAGTGTGCGATCTACGTCAAGAAAACTGATAGAAGAACTCTCAGCAATGGCTTCGTCTGACGAAATATCTTGCTCGAATCCGGACCATGGTACTTCTAGTCTGATGCAGCAGCAGAGGGAGAAAATGGTGGGGTTCCTCGCTATGTCGCTTGAGGCCATCTCGCACACCAGATCACTTTGATGAAGTCGAGAACACTGCCCTCCAGCTTGTCGAACATGCAACCGATCCGGTGGAGAAGACAGTCCTAAAAGACTTGGTCTCGCGCCTTGTTGAGTTCAAGGAGATCATCCCCAGCTCACTCTCCACTATTGAAACTAGCCACGGGGTGGAATCATCCGTAGATCAGGTGAAAAAGGACATGGAGGTGAGGCTGGTTCACAGGAAGAGACAGCTGAGCTCTCTCGAGTAGAGGTTACGAGACTTGGAGAGGAAGACCTGAAGCTGGAGGCTGAGATTCGGCAGTTATCTGCTCGCAAGGCTATAATTTTTTATCAGAGGAGCTCAACCGTGGCCGAACTGGACAAGGCCAATCAAGAGGCTGTCAAGGAATTGGAAGAGCTGAAGAAGCAATGCGATGAGAGCAGGCAAGCGGTGGAAAATAGGATGAGAGCCAAGGAGAGATTGGCTCAGTCCAATGCAAGTTGAAAGCTTTTCAAAGACAACTTGGGATGGTAGTCTTAGTTAGTTCTACGCACTACGGAGCAGTCTCCTACTCTTATTAATTAGAACGGTTGATTTCGGTTCAAATGATCATCATCGTCTTAGGGCTGGTGGGTGATACTTTTGGTCTTTAGGGATGTTTTGTTCTAATTTTTTCAATAGGCCGGCTAAATTTGGGTGGAAACTGAAAGGGTATGGGTATGTTTTGTTCTATCTTTTGTTACAGACAGTCTTCTGGTCCTTATGGATCGAAGTAGCTAAAATGCTACATCTGGTCTTTGGTTCGGTGCTTATGATTAGGGGTGGACAACGATTCGATTCACATCGGACTGAATCGGACCGAATCGACTCTCACACCGAATCGGATCGAACTGTTTATTTTTCGATTTGACTTTGCGTTCCTGAATTTGGGACATTTTCGGTTTTGTTTCGGTCTAGACGAAACCGTAAAATCAAACTAAGGACCGTACCGAATCGTAATTAAATTAATTGTTTATTTTTATTAGGCTCTGAGAAGGCAAGTCGACTTGGAGTTGAAAACCCTAGTACCCTACACAACACTTATGACTTAACTACCTATAAATATGATTGACTTTCCCTGACTTTGACTCGCCGCTCCCGCTTCTATAGTCCTACCCTCAAATCAGACGTTTCATTCGCGTTGCTTCAATCAAGAGGTTGCTTACTTTACCTACACACTGTGAGAAGATGCGAATAAATGACACCATAGAGGCTTCTGCCAAGTCTGACAACATCACTGCAAATTGACAAGGTTAAGAACCATTTGTTTTATTGCACTTGTTCTTGGAGTAAGTGTTCACTTTGTTAAACTCCTTCCTAATGTCTTATATCATGTACATATATGGCAGAAGAGAGGCTTTCTAATGAACAATGGAAATTCTGGAGATTGGGCGATCCAATGTGCCTCTGGAAATGAAAATGAAAGATTAGATAGGCAATTAGTTAGATTACCTTTGAGATTGAATAAAATTTTTTTTGTCTTTTAGTTAGTTAAGTAGTTCTCATTTAGCTTTTTGCATAATATCTTGGAATGTATGGTTTTTAAGAATTATGGAGTATTTAAATTGGGATAATTTGATTACTTTTTTGTGTAGTTACATTTTTTTAATTCTTGTGTTCTCCTTTAAGAGTGATTTTATTCGAATGAAAGATTAATCGGTCCAATGGTTTTTCTCTTATTTTAATGATAGATGAGAGAGAATAAATAATTTGCTTTTTTGTTTAATAATAGAAAAAAGAAAGAAAGAGAGGGGAAGACGGGGGTAGGAGTGGGGACCGCGTCTGTCAAAAGTCAACATCAACACTAAATGAGGGTGAGTGTAATTTACCCTACTACCCTTTCGTGTTCAATTTAAATAAGAGACAAAGGTTAACACGTAGAGGATAGAGGAAGGGGTTACTCATAGTTAACGGGGAAAAGGTTACTGATAGAATCCACACTCCCCAAAGAGGCCCTTTCAGAGATTCACAAAGTGGCTAGAATTTTAAGGTTTAAGAAATTAAAAATTAATTATTTTATTAAATCATGCTTGACCCTTGATTCAAAAATGAAAAAAAAAACTTGACCCCGAAATTGATGAGAGAGATGGGGTAGGTACTTGATATTATCAACACCTTTATTTCCAAAGTCTCCATACAAAGAAGGCTAATTCTGCCACCTCCACCTTTGATAGTCGTAATGAAAATAAGCGGAAATCCCATCAATAACTAAATCTAGATCTTTTATTTAAAAAATTTAGATCTTTTATTTAAAAAATTTAGATCGAAGGATGGAGAATTAAACGCTATTTTTATTTTTTTTAGTTTTCTTAATCGGCTCATATCTTCTTCGTTTTAACTCGGAATTTTTTTTTTTTTTTTTTGCACAGATGGAACGAGTTCGTTGTGCTCTACAAAATGATATCCATTTTCAATATTTTTTTAGATAAAAAAAAATTCATGCCTCTCGGTACCAACTGCATACCATATGGTATCTTCTTCGTTTTTAATTTTTTTGAAAACGTTTGCACAGAAGGAATGATTTCATCATGATATATTGGATCTACAAATTTCTGGGTGAACAAATTACAGGACCAAAAAATACCACTCAATACCACAGATAACCACCCTGGTACGGGGTGGTATCTTGTGGTACACAATGTTAAAAGTCGTAAATGACAGTTAATATACTTCTACTATCATGTATTCAATCATCCTATAGTTTTGGTTTGTTAATACCACCATGGTACGCTTTTCAAACCATAGGTATGCTCTTATTTCAATACCAGTCAATACCATATGGTATAGACTGGTAAAAAATGCTCAATTTTTTTTGTTCAAAAACTATATCAAAGTGGATATCATTTTGAAGAGCACAATTAATCTGATCTAACTGTGCAAAAAAAAATTGACTTAAAACGAGTGAGAAATCGTCCGTCAAAGATTAAGGAGAGGAAAATTAAAGGCATTTCAGGAGAGAGAGGGACGCTGATGTCATGTTGATGTGGACGGGTTATCCATGGTTACTCATCATAAGGTTATTGACCTGATCCAGACCCTTGTGAGTTATCATACTCAGGGCCGGTATTGAGATTTTGGAGGCCCTGTTCTGTAAATAAAATGAGGCTTAAATTGCTTTTCCTGAAAATCTAATAAAATATAAACAAAGCATCAATCAATAAACAAAAATCATAACATTATTTAAAAATAATATCTATCAAATCAGAGTTTAAACAAAAAGTGACAATGCTTTAAATAGAAAGATGTAATTAAAAAATTGATTATTTAAGAGATTGAATAAAAAATCCAAACGAAAGAATCCAAATAGTAACTAAATTGACAATGAATTAATTAACTAGACTCACCTGAATAGGTTATGAAAACTTATTTGAGTAAAAGATGAAAATAATTTTAGAATAATCAAATAGTATACATTAACAATAGGATAAAGTAAATTAGATAGTAGAAACTGATAATTTTTTAGCCTAAAGTTAAGTATGATGCAAACTACTTAATTTAGTTATTTTTTCCTTTTCCACTATTGGTGGCTTATACCTAATTATTTTGGTTAACATTTAATAAATCAATGTAGATTATTTAATTAATTTAACATTATAGCCCTTGCTAGTACAATGAGATTAATTTACGAAATTGAATTCTTTTCATCCCTTGGAAAGCTACAAATGAAGAAAGTTAAAGCAACAAATGAAGAAAGTTAATAATTCTAATAATGAGGCATCAATAATCTTACCTCTTTGATTCTATTTAGGAAACAGAGGACAAAGAATGAGTTTTGTTATAAGGTTTGAAAATAGCAAGTATTCACCTCATGTGATCTGTTCGTTTCTTTATCCTTCGGACTAAATTTTTTTAATATTATTATTTTAGACTCATAATCAAAACTCAATTCATAATTCCCAGTGTTGTTAAAGTTAAAACCGCTACCCGGTCAAAAATTGCAATAAACCAAAAACGTCGATCTCTCAAACTAAATCCTTATTTCTATTTCACAATTTCAAAGGAAAGAGACGAGCTCTGATTAAGAAATATCCACAATTTGTACTTATAACGTTTATTAGGTACCAGTTTTCTAACGATTTTTAAACGGTCTAATGCCGGTTGGACCACTAAAGTGCGAGCCGTTCGCATTACCGGGTCATGCTCCGGTTCGGTTCTGACAACATTGATAATTACGACCAAAAAAACTCCATTCATAATTTTTTATCGTTGTAAATTCATAATCGAAATTCAATAATTCTTAATAATAATTATTATTAATTATATACATAATGTAGGTCCGGCGACCCCACAATCAGGACTCAGGAGGGCCTATCCTTGAGTGTCTGGCAGCACACCCTTACACTCTGTTCGGGAAGGAGGGAAAGGGAAGGAAAGGGGAGGGAGGTTAGGGAAACACACATTCCAATGAGCTTTCCATTGTTTTTTTAGCTAGCTACAATTGAGAAGGAAAAAAAGTGAGAAGGAAAATTCACTATTTCCTCCACCCCTTCAATTTGGACGGAAAACAGAATTGAAGAGTGTCTAATTTCTAATAGCCCACCTTTTTAACTCATGACCCATCAAGCCATCTCTCTGCGTGTCCACTCCAACTCCCAACTCCATTTTCACTTAATTTATTTTATTTTCTTCTTAATTTCTTTCTCTTTTAATTAGTCTCATTTTTACTTGATCAATTAATGATAGTAAGTAATACGAATAGGAGTAAGTGATGTTGTCATTAATTTTGGTCTTTATACTTTTCATATTATTTTGTTCTTTTAAACATAATTTTGTATTGTGTGGGATATCATATCGACGGCTTGACAGAAAAAACTATTATCAGAGTCTAAACGGATAATAACAATTGCTCTACCATATTGCATCGGACCAACCGACGTTTGGATCGGATGACACCAAATGGATGATTTACGTCACGTATTACTATTTTGGGTCCGATATTCGATATTTCTGGTCCGGCCGGTACGGTTGTGTTTTTTAAACATTGTATAATATAAGTTGAACAAATTTTATTTGATTTAGAATGCTTGATCAATTAGTATAAAAATAACTGATGTGGTTAAAATCACGGTTGTAGAACAAAATACTCTAGCACTAGTTTCCCGATACAATCTCTTGTACGGTTTAGAAAGAAAGTACAAATTTAATTCACAATTCATAAGTAGAATATTAACATACAATCAAATTATTTTACTATTACATAACCAATAAAATAACAGATTCATCACACTTCCCACTTTCTTCCATAAAACAACATTTTCCTCCCAATTTCCTTCACCTCCAAACTCCCCTCCCCTCCTAATTTTCCTTCACCTCCCCTCCTTTTCTTCCCTTCCTTCGGAAACATAGTGTTAGGGTCCGCCCTGATCCTACTCCCATACTAACACCCAAAGTTCCGAGCAGTGCGAACCTAGAACAAGTAATGAGAGGCCGTTTTTGGTCCCTTACAAGTTACATTAGTCTGGACA